AACCAGTAAGTTTTTAAAGAACTATGACTTGTACCTAATAAGGAGTTCATATCAATAGAAAGCATCAAAAGAAGAAGGATGTCTTTGGAAGACAATAATGCTGGGAAGAAGAGGGTTTGAAGTGTTTGCTGTGTTAGCCTAGTTTAAAATATGGAAAAATATGACCTTGCTTCTATCAGTGTAGGTACCATGCTGTGCCACGAGTGCTCACCCTCAGAACACTGGATGCTGTGTTATTTCTATGACACAGATTTAAACAGATGCAGCATTCCAAGCTGTCCTAACCCACGGAGCTGCTGTGCTCCCTATGCTCCTGTATTGCTTCTGGGTGTCTGTGTTCAGTGGGTGCATCTGACCCAGAGAATTTCCTGCTGCTGAAGGGAACTGCATCTGCCTGGAGCTGGACCAGAGCCATGGGCTGGACTAGCCAGCTCAGGAAAAATCATGAGGATTAAAGTTACGCCTGGTAAATTTTGGTTCTTTGACCTCTAACTTTGTTTTCAACTAAAGAAGTGTTTCTTAGGTCACTGTAGCAAAGTTACACTTGATGGAAAAACACAGAAAAGACAGAGCATCTTGATTTCCTTGGGAAGAAACCTCAGAAAGATCTGCTGGGGTGAATCCACAGCCCTCCATGAATGGGACAAAATGTATGAAAAGAAAAGAGAAGACGCTTTGAACATATGCATAGAATCAGAGAATGGTTTGTGTTGGAAGGGACATTAAAGACCACCCAGCTCCAATGCCCTCCCATGGGAAGGGACACCCTTCATTAAATCAGGTTGCTCAGAGCCTCATCCAACCTGACCTTGAATACTTCCAGGGATAGGGCAGCCACAGCTTCTCTGGGCAAACTCCCTCAAGGATACCAAGAAAACATAACAACGTTCTTCAAAATCACTTAGGAATGACCAGGACTACCTGGATCAGTAAGGTAAACTGTTCTGCCTGGCACACAGGGGACACAGAAAGTTTGAGTTACATGTTCACAGATACTTTGTCACTCAGTAGTGGGAAAAAATGTACAAAGTTAATTCTGATCAGAATTTTAAATCATCAAAACCAGCTTTGTACAGACTACTGACCTGAGGGCAATCAGGGACTACTCTTGCAGCTAATAACAAATGCTGCTCTCTGATGTTTCATGTAACTCAGATGGTTATTTCTAGCTGCCCAAGTAATCAGAACAGGTTGATACTATTGGCAGCAAGTAGATATACACAATCTGTCTCAAAAAAGGAGGGGTATAAAACACACTTCTAAACTGAATGATCTGAAACTCTCCTTACAAAAGTGCCAATTCTACACATGTTTTTCTGAGGCACTTTAACCATGCCAGCACTTACCACAAAAGACTTTGGAACAGGAATTTAGCCTGTTCTTGCCATTTTATGAACCTGTCCCTGATATATTTGTTATATAGAACAAATATATGAGGTGTCCTATTTTATAGTCAACTTATTGACACCACTGCATCTTGCGCTACTCCTTATGGCGATGGACAACTAAGAATGGCTTAAAAACAACAAAGCTAACAGTAAGAGTAAGTGGCTTCAAAATCAATACAAGAATGACCAAGTAGTAGAGGAGTACTTGTTATCTGTTCATCAAAATGATGTGAAAAGACATTCTGTGCATTCAAAATTTAATTTAGCTACTTGCTTTATCATCATAAACACTCATTTCAATATGGGTAATGATTATTTTTTCTTCCCAAACATGAATAATATATAATTTCTGGTATTTGGGAAGAGACAAGGTCTTTCAGGGTAATTTATCATTGTCTTTCTTTTTCTTCTGCACTGGTGAGAGAGCTTGTTAGCTCACCTTGTTCTTAAAAAGCCAGAGTGTAATTCAATAATAAATTCACTCAAAGGCTAGCTGTCACGAGACATTCATTTATTTGTATCCATTAGGTGATCTGCACTGCTGTTCTCTCTGCAGAGTGGCTAAGCTGTGGTTTTGAAGCTCAGGAAATACATTGCAGAGATATTCAGTCACCTCCTTCACGCTGCTGTCACTTCTGCACAGGCCAGACAGGGATGCAAATGTGCCCCAGTTCCCTCAGGATGATAATCAGTCAGCCATGACCTAGTGAAGCCCGGAGGAGCACTCAGTTCCTGACCTGAATGGTGAGTGTGCCTGTGCCACTGGTGCCCATGCAGGATACCAGACACACAGGACACAGAGATCCACGCCACCTCTGTGATGTCTGCTCATGGGGGACTGCTCACAGCAAATGACACAGATCCAACTCCAACCCTACCCCATGAGGATGATGGCATTGGGACAGAAAGATATAGGAAGTCCCATGAACAGCAGTCTACAGTGCTGATCTACACCAAGAAGGAGATGACTTCATGAATCATCCCAGCAACAATGGGAGAGGGATCCTAAAGCAGGATGCTGGAGCCCTCCATAAGAATAACTCCCTCTTGTCAGACAAACTTTTAAGCCAGCAGCTGGAAGGAGTGATAAAAACAGTCCCCAGTGGCTGCTGTGATTTTTATAGAGACTCCGAGCAGCTCCATGGGTAACAGGGATATTATCACCTGTCTGTTGGAAAAGCAACTGGTGGAGTTTCAGTGACAATGCTACTGAATAAAGGGCATATCCACACACACAAATACAGGCAGTCTTGCCTGTCCAGTCTAACTGGGTCCCAGATGGTCCCAGACCATGCTTCCCCACATATCAGTCACTGACTACTGTGACCAGAGGAGCTGTTCAAAGGTCCAGCTTTCTGGGAGGTGAAACAGGCAATTGAAACTACAGAGAGAGGCCAAATAAGAAGAAAACCTTTGCAATGGCTGAGTTTATCCCAATCTATAGGATCTTTAAGAACTAATAGGAACATGTGATGTCTTTTAAAATCCCAAAAGAGTAGTGGCATTTTCAACAACCCAACATTCTCATGAGCCTGGACCAGGTGCTGTCTCAGTGGAAAATATACCTTCTTGTTGAGGTTCTTCAATGTTACTTGCAATCACTCTTGTGAATCAAGACACTTCAGAGATGCAATACAATCACAACTTGAGGTGCACATATCTGTAGACCATACTTAGTGGCACACACCCTATGCTGATAATTTGAGAATGGAAACCTCATAAATCATTGCTACCTCTGTATAATTCTTCATCCTAAATTAAACAGAACAAGTTTTATTACTTTCCCTGCATTTAATCAAAAGCAGTCATTAAAACCCTTCCTATCGATCTGAATCTTTGCATTCCCTCACTCCAGTAACCTACATACCAGACAAACATTTATGCTAGCAGGTGCTCCTTTTGAATTCTGAATTTCTCCTTAGTAGGACACCTACATATGGTTAGTAGGTCCTTCCTACATAGAGATCTACCATCAGACCTATAAAATACATGTAACTCCTTTAGGAATTTACATGACGCTAAATGACAACATTCTTTCTGTTGGTCCTCTGCTGGCACTCTCAGAAACAAATTTACTATATAATTAGAAATTCACACAATTTTTCCCCAGCTCTGTATGCTGTTGAATCCAAGCAGCCCTTCAAGAGAAGCTGCAGTTTTATTTTTTTATTGCACAAATATGACGATTCCTCTAGTTCATTAGTTGTATGGAAAGTTCACTAAACACAGATGTGTATGTACCAAAATTCTCTGCCTGTCAGAAAGGATACATATGGACCTGATAACAGAATCCTCTGTGGAAATGCTGAGGAATTGCTACCCTAAATACATCAGAAAAATGAAATGGTGAGCATAATCTAGTTCATATTCTGAAGCCTGATTTTACAGCAACAAATCACAAGGATTAGTCCAGAGTCCAAATGGTTCAGTATCCAGTACCTGTGATCTTCAGAATGCCAATGAAGGACAACCATTTGCAACACAAAAGTGTTTGGTTATAATCTGAGTCACTGTTGTCAGCTTTCTTGGACCCTGAAGACCTTGGAAGCAAGAAATATCGGGGAAAGTATTACATCAGGACAATTTCCTGACACAGCTATGATGATGATGTCAGCCTGCAGGCTACCAAAAAAGGCGATATATGGGAGCTAGTAGCCAAGAGATGCTGGCAGTGTCCCTCCATGAAAAGCATTAGGTCAGAGCTAGAGGGGCCTGAGAGGCCAGTTGTGATGAAAGTGCTGAAATAAATACCCACACAAACATGAAGGTTGTGTATTTTCAGCACCAACCTATTAAGTGCTTTGTGTGGGAAAGCTGAAAGTAAACAGTCCAGCACTGGGTGAAGCTCAACAGAGTTCAAACCTATGTGTTGAGAGCCATGTCCATGATCAGGGTCACTACTTCTGAAAGGCAACATTCAGGGCAGACAACGAATGATCTAGGAATATGACACCACAGTTACACTGTTACAAGAAATGATTTTCAGGGATGACCAGCCCTGACAGACAGGAATACACTTAAACCAAATTGCTGAGAGTCAGTCACAGAACTGAACTGCTATGTTTTGTTTCCCAGTTCCTGTTTCTTGATGATGGTTGCAATGATAAAGAATTTCTTGATTTTAAAACCAATCTATATTCAGCTTGATGGCTTAAGTTGCAAATCACTCTAACCATCCCTAGATGGTATGATTTTCCTCAGTTCTTCTGAAGTCTTTAATATTCACACTATAGACTGCAAATAGCATTCTAGTTTCCTTCTCTTTTGTCTCTGTCAAAGGAAGACTGTCACTGCTCTTTAGGAGATACTTGTGCACAATGTCAGTCACTTCATCTAGAAGAGCTGAATGGATGCCTTTCACTCCTTGAAACAAGGAAAGTGAGGAAACATGCAACTGCTTGTACGTGTTAGGAGAGAAGCATCTCGTCTTACTGGCTGGCCGGAAATTGTAGGTGAAGAGACAGCAGAACTACATCAGCCACAAAATTCTTCAGGTATCTACTTCACTTAAACAATTTTCATTATTCTGCATCTTGCTGCCCTTCCATGTCTTAAAATGGCCAAGTGGCTTATGCTTTACCACTTACTGAATCAACTCCAAAATTCACTTACCCGCCTTCAAAAGGATTGTCCCCTGGGATGACGTGAGTGCTGTCCTTGCCAATCAGGAACTTGATTCGATCATAGAAGGAATGCAAGCTCTGCTGGGAGACGGGGGCTTGTGTCTCCTGGATGATATCCAGGGGGTCCGGAGAGCCCAGGCACAGTGCATTAACGTGGCACAGGGGCTGCAGGCAGCAGTCTGGGTCCATGCAATCCACCAGGCCATCTACAGAAGGGTAAGGAACATTTTAGAGCAATGGAAACATGGAGTGCTGCAGACTTCAGGATGCAAGAACTCCTTCCAGAGCACACAATAGAGAAATGCAGATTTTCATCTACATTGAGTAAGGCATGTTCATTTAAAGTCACAATAAGGAACCCAAAATACACATTACTACATAACATAAATATGCAGTAGTAGGCAATATATGAAAACTCATATATTAGACTGGGCCCTCAAAAAAGCATATTTTAGATTAACCCTAGGATGTGCCATTCCATAACTCAGTCAATTTGATAACTAACTCCAGAGCCCCCAAAGATTGTTGTGGATTTTTTTTTGCCAAAATACACAGCTTCTGTACCTTGCTCCTAATAATTGCATCACACAAAAGCTACCAGGTTTGCTTTCAGAAGGACTTAATACTTTATTCTTATTTTACTAGGTTACCTTAATGTAATCTAGTAAAATAAGAGTAGAAAGTAAAGGAGATTTTGCTGGGAAGGTTTGATCTTTGTTGACCTTGGCCACATTGATTTGATACTGACACAGAGTAACAGATGACCTCAAATTCTCAGGATACCAATTTCACATTTTCAGCACCATTAAATTAATAGTAATAACAATAATAGCAGTGGACACACATGAAAAGGCTTCCTGAGTGTACTCCAGTAAAATGAGGGTTTGCATATCTGTCAAGCCATCAAATGCATACAGTACCACTTCCCCTCCCACCACCATAGCAACATGCCCCATTCATTTGGAGACGCCACTGCTCATTGCAAACAGCACAGTAAAAAGCGGTGACAGGAAAAGAAACACCAAATAAAGCTCAGAAGAGGTTTGATGAAGCATCACGTTCAGCAATATAGGTTGTTAGCATGTAGGAGAGACAGATCTTTAAATCAGATAAGGAAACTGGATGTTTTTGTTCTGGGGTAATGGGATATGGAGCCCTTCACTTCCAACTCATCAGTTCAAGCAAGACAGTTTGACAGTGAATGAAAATTACTACCATGTGATGGCTGTTCACAGACCTAAGTGAAATGAGTGGTTGGTCTCTGTGCAGCTGCTGAGAGCTCCATATGTCATAGACACCACCTTTACAGCAAGCATCCTACTAACAACTCCAGCAGAGAGGCAAGAAATGAACGTGCCTGGAGAGCAACACTGTCCTGAGAGGTAAAGCCCTCCTGAAGTGAGATGAAATCTTTAGTTTTCAGGATAATGGATTTTTAATCTCAAATAAACAGTAAAGACATTTTGTTATTATTACTGTTTGTGAGCTTCCATTTTGTCCCATTTTTACCAGTATGAATTAGAAGTCCTTTCACTAATGTTATTGGCATTACTTTGTATTTATTGCAATATAAATAGGATGAAATCTGATCTTTCATTGTTCTAGTATTTAAGATGGCTCACACATCATGGACTTGTATTCTGTTGAGTTATACCTGTTCCAAGCTTGGAATAGTTTAGTGTTTAAAACATCACTGACATCATCATTTCATGTGGTTACTCACACACAGAAAGCTGAACAAGCCTGGCAGGGGTTCCCAGAGCTTCCTGTGCCCAAGTAGGTAAAAGACAACGAGTATGTGCTCCATGTACACGTACACACACATACACACTCTGGGTCGTTTCCACAAGTGCTCTGCACTTGCCATTAATGATAATGGGAGCACTATTAGGCCAGCAAAAGTGCTTTGGAAAATCCCATCTGTTACTCTTACCTCTCTGTCTGTCCTAACATCTCTACATCTTTATACCTCCTTACAAAAATGTCACAAAAAATGTTCATCTTGGACATGAAACCTATCCATTGGCCTTTTCTCTTGATGACTAGTGATAATGAAAAAGAAATAATTAGAATTTCTTTGCCCATTAAAAAATTGCTTGCTGCAGATGATTATATCAGTAGGATTCTGGAAGGTCAAATCTCAGATGGAGTTTGAGAGACTGTTCACAGAATACAGATCGGCTTAGATGCAACAGGCTTAGTCACAGCTACCTACTGAAAAAAAAAAAAAAAGAAAAAAAAAAGAAAAGAAAAGCAAACAACAAACCAGCCTTATTACTATATTGACTACAGTTTCAAGCAAGATAAAATGTTGTCTTTTTCTCACACACATTAATAATGTTTTCTAAGGCTACAGACACTTGGCTGAAAGGATAGCAAAGCAACTGTACCATACCTCTTCATTAACCTGTCTTTTTTCTAGGCATCAGAAATGCGTTTTGGGGCTGAAGCTGCAAGACAGCAAGAAAATGTTGTCTTTGCAGGAAACTGTAGATAAATGTTTGAAGAATAGATGCAGAGGACAATGTTTTGAACAGGTGAGAATGATGAGGACTCATCTGCAGATAAGCCTTTCAACTAATGTGTTTTGGACCTATACGGAATAAATTGAGGAAAACTACACCAGAAAGGTTTGTCACTGGTGTCCTAAATTCATGAAGGCACTCGAGGGCTAAAATGGTGTTTAGCTACTCAACTTCCTGTAACACCAAGAGCAGTTTCAGGACAAAGCATTTCTTTAGCTTAACGAAATGTAATGGCTATTTTTGTCTGAGTCATGCAGAACAGCAAGAGTTAATCTACAAATCAGGTCATAAATAATGATGTTTCCATGTGCATTCTGTTTTCTTGGGTTTTTTTATTGTATGGTCCAAAAGTCATCCAAGTGGTGCCCTACAGTGACTTGTCAGGAGGTATAATGACAGCGTACACAGCTATGACTTCTCATGCCCTGATATCTCTCACTGGATCCACCGGAAGAGTGAGGATAAAGTGACATTTGCAAGAAGCTCCTGACCCATGACTTTGGCATTAACTGTCCAATTCAACAAAAACAATATGAAGTTGTAATACAAAACACCTTTGAAATCCATAAAGCATAAAGGTGAATTTTCATTAGAAATCACTGCAAATGTTTCAGACAGGTAACAGAGGGAGGTGAACATAGGGTCAATGCCCTCTGCACCCCAAGTCTAGCAGCAGCAAAGCCACAGAGACCCATGACCTGCATGTGGATTCCTAACTCCAGTAGCTCCCAGAGCACAGGTAGACTGCACAGTAAGTTCTTAGTTATGGATGCCTTTATACAGCTCTTTGTTTTAAAAAGTGACAGCTCCCTTACTTAAATATAACTGTAACATGACTATGGCACTTCAGAGCAGAGAACAAATGTGTTGCTGAATTATTTCTGTGAGAAGTTTCAAGTCTTGCATAGGGGTATTACTGCAATTCATATGTTTTAAGGCTACTATGATCAGCTTGTCTGACCTATTATACCCATAGGATGTTGATTTTTTTCCCTCCAGAACTGGATTAAAGCCTGTGTTTTAGAAAAAATATCTCATATACCAAAGAGAGCTGATTACAGTGAGTCACCCACTTCCTCCAGTAAACTTCTGAAATGCTTAATTACTGCTAGGAAACTCTGTCTTATTTCAAGGTTTGATTTGTCTAACTCCAGTATCCCATGACTAGTCTTGTTTGGCCTTTGCCCATAAAGTTACCAACAGTTCCTTCTACCCTGCATGCTCTGATGTCTTTCCCACGTGCAAGTACCTTCACACAGAACAATAATCCATTCCAAATCTTTTCTCTGAACAGCTAAGGAAGAACAAAATTCCCAGTTTAAGGTTTGTTTCCCATCCACTGGACTTTTTGGTGTATGACATCCTTTGAACTCTTTCCAGTAATTTCACATCTGTTATGTGTGGACACCAACACTGGACACAGCACTATGTCAGCAATATTGGGTACAGAAAAGAGACCACTTCCTCTTCTCCAAAGAATTTTTGGACTTCTATACTCCTAAGGTTCACAGAGGTGAAGGTGCAAAAGCCTATAGCACTGAGAACTCATGTTGAGACAATTACCTCCAGTGACCTCAAAATCCTGTTCTGAGTCATTGCTTCTCAAGCATCTCTGAACCCTCCAGTATAACATCCTTTTTTTGTTCTCAGGGCTATTTTGCATTTTGCTGCATTATGATATATTTTGTTTGATTGTGACCTTGCAGCGATGTGAGTCAGATCACTCTGTGTCAAAATGATCTGGGTACATTATTTACCACCATGCTGAGCTTTAGGTGACCTAAAAATTTTACCAGGAGAGAAATAAATGACATTCTAAGACAATGAAAATGCTGAGTAGGGCTGGATACGACAACCAGTTCCAAGGGATCCCTACAGAAATATCTTCAATCATGGATGCCTTCCAATTAACAAATTAATTCAGAGATGTGTCACTAAGCCTGATTTTAAGACATCTCTTGTGTTCCTTCTTATTTCCATGCAATAGGAATTTTTATATCTTTGGGACTGTTTATACACATATATATAATGTATATACACATATATATATATAATGTATACACATACATTACTTATTCTATATACACATACATATCCTTTGACAGCCCTGATAAAACCAAACCCAAACTCTTTTGTCCCACTTCCTTTGCACGAAGCCCGAAATAAGTAACTTTTTGCAATCTTAGAGTTACCATGGGGTGAATCAAACCACTGTTGCTGTGAAAAGGAAGCCATTGGCAAGATATTGTCACATCTGGTAAATAGTGTGTTCAGTGGTTTGCACCTTTCACTAAGATTCAAGTAATCAGAGAATAAAGCAGAGTGGATGGCACCTCGGCAGGTCATCTTGTGAGCCCTGGCTCATTCCCTTCAGAGAGCAACATGAAGGAGAATGAACTGGGCTCAGCAGAAACCCTTTATTTTCTGCCATTGAGGATAATGCAGGTCCAATTTATTCAGCCAACATTGTACTTTAGGGGACCAAGACCATTTTTATCAGGTAATCTGCACGCTGTATATCACTACACAATGAGTTTTATTTTGGGATGACTCATCTAGCTCATATCTTGTGGGTGGAGTTACAACTTTTTTTTTAGAATGACGCTCTAATTCCCTCAAAGACTGCAAATCCACCAATCCCATTGGTGAGCTCTTCAAACTACTACTTTAGACTGCAAACT